GCACCGTTGGGGTGGGGGGCGCTGTCTCTGTATCGGGGCCAGCAGGGAGCCATGGATGGCTGTGGAGAGAGGGTGGAGTCTGATGTACATCATGCAAGGCCTGCGCTGGCTGTCGGCAGGAGGTGGTGGGGGGGCCGGGGCGGGTGCCGATGCTGCTTCAGAGCCTCTGGGTGTCTTCGAGGACATCAGCATCTTTCTTGTGGGGGGTCCCTTGGGACCGGGCCTCGAGGCTGTGTCCTTTCCACCTCCGGGACCTGGGGAGAAAGTTCTGTCTTGAAGTTGTCTCTAGGATACCCCCGGGGTGGGCTCTGGCTGGAGTCTTGGGGTTCTGAGTGGTGGGTGAAGGGGGTCTGTACTTGGGCACCTCCACCCCCACGTGGAGGGTCATCGGTTTGCTGCCCTCACTGCTCTGCGATGGCCTTCCCCTCTGCCTGAGGAAGTGGCCCCAGGGCTGGCCAGAATGCTCCCTAAGGCATGGAAATCCCCGAACACTACCCCGGCAGCCCCCCGGAAACAGCTCAGGAACTGGACATGCTGACCTTCCCTGAGTGAGGCAGAGGGTCAAGCCCCAGGGGCTTCCTGGAGGAGGAGGCGCAGCTCCCAAGGTCGTCCATCCTCATCCCCCTGGGCCTCTGCGTGAGCTTATAGCAGGGCCTGGTGTGGGGGAGGGGTAGGAGGCGTCTTCCCTTGTTCGCTGTTCTCTGTCCTCCCCTCAGCTCTGGCGCGGACCCCCAGCTTTGAGGCTGGTGCCCGGGTAGCCAGAGCCCTGGTGTGCAGGCCGCCTGGCCCTGAGAATGCTCCCTCTGGGATGCCTCTGCCTGGACGCCCAGCCTGGTCCCAGCAGCAACCCCTCGAATGTTTGCAGATTGGTTTTCTGTGGTTCCTTACAGCCGCCTCGGGAGCTCTGGCCCTGCCCCAACGCTGTAGGTGGGGAGGCTCTTGCCTCGTCCCCGCCACAACATCGGGGCGGAGTCTTCAGCGGCCTGGGGAGGCCCAGCGTGTTGCCTTTCTTGCTCTTGAGAGATGTGTTCTGGCTGCTCCAGCCTGGGACCCCCTCCCAGCTCCTGGACACAGCGGGGTGACCCCCGACACCCCAGTTCAGTCCATGTGGTTAACACCAGCCTGAGCCTGAGGTGGTGCAGGACGCAGAGCCCCAAGCCTGGAGTTGGTGTAACCCCCCCTTACTGCCGCCAGTCTCCTGGCCCCGAATGCAGCCCCCCCAAAGCTCTCACAAGATGGCCCCCCGTTCTGTCTTCGGGTTCAGTGAGTTGGTGAGTACGAGGGGCAGAGGTGTCCTGGCAGGGCCCGGGAGCTGCAGTCATTTTCCTCCTCCTCCTATTCTCCAAGGACCCCGGGAAGAGGGGAGTTTGGGGTTCATCAGCAGGATGGAGCCTCGGAGCTGTGCGATCCCTTCCCAAACCTCTGCCGCTTCCCTGGAACGGAAGATGCGGCCTCCTTCCAGGCAGTGCCCGGTGGGCTTCAGGGACCCCGCCCTTCGCCAGGAGTCCCCAGCGCTGATGGGGTCCTCCAGCCGCATTCTCCACCTGGGCCTCTTCCTCATGCATGCTTCTCTAGTACCCGTTTAAGTCACGTCGCTTCTCTTAAACTCGTTTGAGAGGAAACTTCAGATCTGAGAGTCAGAAGCCCAGGCAAGTGTGAAAGGTGTGCCTGAAAATTAACTAAACGTGAGCTTTGCCTTGTGAAGAGTCTGCCTGTTCTTCGGCATTTATTAATACTTAAAAATTAGTGTCAAGAGAAGAGTTAGGTACTGGGTGAGGTGGTTCATGCCTGTAATCCCAGCACTTTAGGAGGCTGAGGCAGGAGGATCGCTTGAGGCCAGGAGGTCAAGGCTGCACTGAGCCGTTGCGCTCCAGCCCGGGTGATGGCAAGACCCCAATTCAAACAAGCAGAAAGGGGCGGGGCGCAGTGGTTCATGGCTATGATCTCAGCACTTTGGGGGGCCAAGGCGAAAGGATCACTTGAGCCCGAGCTTGAAACCAGCCTGGGCCACACGGCGAAACCCCATCTCTAGTAAAAATACAAAACAGCTGGGCGTGGTGGCGCGCACTTGTGGTTCCAGCTCCTTGGGAGGCTGAGGCAGGAGGACTGCTGGAGCCTGGGGGGCGGAGGCTCCAGTGAGCCAAGATCGCACCTCTGCACTGCAGCCTGGGCCGCACAGCCAGACCCTGTCTCGAAACAAAAGCGAAACAAAAAAAGGCATTAGAGGTGAGCTTAAGGAAAACCAGGATTTCCTGGTTGCCTGGACTGGAAAACATTTAAAACGGGAGTAATTTTTGTACGCCTTCTTCTGCCCACCACGTCCCATTTTTGGAAACCTTGAGGCACAGATCTCTGAGTGACACCTCATCTTCTGCCAAAAAAGCCAGGATCCAAGGCCACGAGAGACACCAGGAAATGCTGGCTGACAGAGAAAAGGAAAGTCCTTCCCATTTTTAATTTCCCCGTAGCTTTCTCTGTGCAATTGTAAGTGTCACACATGCTCAGAATGACGAGTGCAGAGCAGACACCTCTGGTTTTAGAGAAAACCCTGGAGTAACCTGGCGCAGGGGATTTCCTCTGGGTAAGTGTCAGGGAGTGGAATTGTTAGGTCCGTGGATTTTTGTGTTTGTTTTGAGATGGGAGTTTTGCTGTTTTCACCCAGGTTGGAGTGCAGTAGTGCGATCTCAGCTCACCCCAACCTCCACCTCCCAGGTTCAAGTGATTCTCCTGCCTCAGCCTCCCGAGTAGCTGGGACCACAAGTGCATGCCATCATGCCCAGCTCATTTTTTTGTTTTTAGTAGAGATGGGGTTTTACCATGGCGGCCAGGCTGGTCTCAAACTCCTGTCCTCAGGCAATCAGCCGGCCTTGGCCTCCCAGAGCGCTGGATTACAGGTGTGAGCCGCTATGCCTGACCTCCGTGGATGCTTTTCCACTTAAAAACGTCCCTCGTGGCCAGTCGCAGCGGCTCACGCCTGTAATACCAACCCTTGGGGAGGCTGAGGCAAAAGGGTCACCTGGGGCTAGGAGTTCAAGACCAGCCTGGCGAACATGGTGACAGCATGGTCTCTCATGCGATAGGTGACAAAGCTGATCTTCTTTCCTGCCATTCGTTTGATTAATAGAGGGTGATCTTTTCAGAAGGAGATCAACCGGCTTTTTGGCGAATTTTCTGTTACTCTTTTGAGCCTTCGTTCTTGGAGTCCATGCACTTTTTTCATGCTGAAGTCATTCGAGATTCATGGGAAGTGGCAGAGGGTGAGCTTCTCACCCAGCCACCCCAGGGGTACCGTTCTGCCCAGCCACTGTCTGTGGTGCCGTGTCCGACCTGGGAAGCTGGCATTGGTACCAGCTGTAGAGCCTGGTGAGATTCCACAGCTTCACACGCACACGTGCGCATGCATGTGTGTGTGTGTATACGTGTGTCGGTATGTGCGCGTGCGAGTATGTGTGTGCGGGTGTCTGAGCATCTGAATGCATGTGTGTGTTGGTGTGTGTCTGCACATGTGTGTGTGCTGGTGTCTGAGCATCTGAATGCATGTGTGTGTTGGTGTGTGTGCGTGTCTGCACGTGTGTGTGTGCGGGTGTTTGAGCATCTGAATGCATGTGTGTCTTGGTGTGTGTCTGTGTGTCTGCACGTGTGTGTGTGCGGGTGTCTGAGCATCTGCATGTGTGTGTCTGTTGGTGTGTGCGTGTCTGCACGTGTGAGTGCGTGGGTGAGCATCTGAATGCATGTGTCTGTTGGTGTGTGTCTGCGTGTGTGTACGTGTGAGTGTGCAGATGTCTGAGCATCTGAATATGTGTTTGTATGGGTTTGTACATGCGTGTGTGTCTCAGCGTGTGTGAGTTCGTGTGTGTGCATTGTGTGTGTGTGTGGAGACTTCTTTGCACTTTCAAGACATGCACGTTTCTTAACCCCAGGAATCAGTCATCTGTTCTTCATCTCTACATTTCCTTCTAATCCCTGGGTCTCACTTTGTTGTTCAGCCTGGAGTGCAGTGGTGCAATCATAACTCACTGTATCCTGGAACTTCTGGGCTCAAGTGATCCTCCCACCTCAGCCTCGTGAGCAGCTGGGACCACAGGCCTGCACCACCTAGCTAATTGCAAAAGTATCTCATTTGTAGAGGGCTGGGTCAGCAACTCACACCAGTAATCCCAGCACTTTGGGAGGTCGAGGTGGGAGGATTGCGGGAGCCTGGGAGTTCAAGACCAGCCTCGGCAACATGGTGAGACCCTGTCTCTAAAAAATTTTGTTGGGGTGTGGTGGCTCACACCTGTAATGCCAGCATTTCGGGAGGGTGGATCACATGAGGCCAGGAGTTCAAGACCAGCCTGGCCAACATGATGAAACCCTGTCTCTACTGAAAATACAAAAATTAGCCAGGCGTGGTGGTGCATGCCTGTAGTCCCAGCTACTCAGGTGGCTAAGGCATGAAAATCACTTGAAACTGGCGGGTGGGGAGAGGTTGCAATGAGCTGAGATTGTGCCATTGCACTTTGGCCTGGGGGACGGAGGGAGACTCTGCAGAAGGGAAACAAATGTATAAATGTTGTGCTGTGTTCCCCAGGCTGGTCTTGAACTCATGAGCTCAAGTGATCCGCCTGCCTCAGCCTCCCAAACTGCTGCGATTCCACATCTGAACCGATGTGCCCAGCCCAGGTTTTCACTTTGAATATTTTATATAAATAGAATCCTACAGTTTGCAGCCTTCTGAGGTTGGCCTTTTTTCTTTTTTTTTTTGAGACGGAGTTTCGCTCTTGTTACCCAGGCTGGACTGCAATGGCGCGATCTCGGCTCACCGCAACCTCTGCCTCCCAGGTTCAAGTGATTCTCCTGCCTCAGCCTCCTGAGTAGCTGGGACTACAGGCACCTGCCACCACGTGTGGATAATTTTTTGTATTTTTAGTAGTCACGGGGTTTCACCGTGTTGGCCAGGCTGGCCTTGAACTCCTGACCTCAGGTGATCCGTCCGCCTCGGCCTCCCTAAGTACTGGGATCAGAGGCATGAGCCACCGTGCCCACCCACCTCATTAACCTTTTAACAACAGCAGTACTACATTCGTTTACATTACCTTTTTTTTTCCGTAACAAATTTTTTGGCTGGGCGCGGTGGCTCACGCCTGTAATCCAAGCACTTTGGAGGCCGAGGCGGGCGGATCACCTGAGGTCGGGAGTTCAAGACCAGCCTGACCAACATGGTGAAACCCCGTCTTTAAAAAAAAAAAATTTTTTTTTTTTTGTTGCCCAGGCTAGCCTGGAATGCATAGGCTCGCCTCCTCAAGTGCCAGGACAGCGGACCTCAGCCGCTGCAGCGCCTCTTTTTTATAGAATTTTCACAATGGAGACAGGTTCTCAGTTGAACTGGGCTCGGGCAGTCGCCTGCCTAGGCCTCCCAGGGTGCCGGGACACAGGCGTGAGCCTCCACTTACCTCACCGTTTCTTGAGCACTGTATGTCGGACATAGAGCTTGGCTTATTCACTGAACGTTCTCAATCCTAACAGGTCAGCCAAATAGGTGCGGTTGTTACCCCACTTTACTGGCAAAGAAGCTGAAACTTAGTGTTTCATTTATGTTGCAGTAAACATTACTAATGATGGAGGTTTTCAGTTTGTCTTGGTGGCTTACAGGTTTAATTTTCTTCTTCTTTTTCTTTTTTTTAAAGAGAGAGGGTCTCACCATATTGCCCAGGCTAGTGTTGACCCCCTGCTCTGAAGCAATGTTCCTGCCTCGGCCTTCTGAGTAGCTGGGACTACAGGTGTGAGCAGCTGCATCCAGCTAATTAATTTTATTTTGTTAATGTTTATTTAGAGATGGAGTGTTGCTTTTTTTTTTTTTTT